CAGCAGCAACAATGGCTGTAATTTGCACTACAAGTAGTGTTTCTTGGTATGTATACTCTTGGTTTTTTAAAGTCACCCAGAAACTAAAGTAGAGTACTGCTTTTTGCAGGTAATGATGTGAAAAATTAATCAATTATTGATCAATCACATATTTAGTCACATCTTTTAAGTACTTACAGTGCTTGATTCTTATTAATCATCGTGGATTAAGAAGTGTGTATGGAATTCTGCCTAAAGCTGACAGGGCAGAGTTTTTTGGTTTTGGTTTTGGTTTTCAGCTAAGCTTCCCTGATAACCAACTTGCCCTTTTCTGCATAGCTGAGCCTCTGCAGCTCAACTGTCAGACCAAGTTCCTCGTTTCTACTAAAAGTCTCTGTCAGCATTAGCTCCTTATTTTTAAGATCCTCACCCCCTGTCACAATCATAGTTATTCCATGGTCAAACACAAGAGAATGGAAAACATCCTGAGTTTTACTCACCTGTCGCCATTGCAAATTCTCTGTTCTCCTCAAAAATAATTATGTGAAACAGACTTACATGATGACAATGGAAAGCCTCAAAGCTACCCTAACCAATCAGAATGTATAAATGCCCATGTAAATCAATATCACATTCCTCAGATTGAGACCTGTGTTCAACGTTTGTTGTTTATATTCCCAATTCTAATACCCTTATTTATGCCTGTTAAATGCCCTATGAACTCTGCTCTGGGTCCTTTAACCAACAGAAATGGTCTTGGACCCACTGTGATGGGTGAAAGGTGAAATGACTGAGGAAACCAAGGTTTGAATTTCTGAGCATATTGATTCATTAAGAATGCATGTCCATTACTCAATAAACCAGGACCAGACCTCCTTGGCTTAGGCCTGGATCCCAAATACAGAGGGAGACAGATTACATATATTCAAAACAATTAGTCAAACAACATCAATTAATTAAAAGGAAACAATTAACTAGGATACAACATTAGGTAATCTGATTTCTAAGTGGAGGAAACATTAGGGATTTTCCAAATTGGGAGGGGAAGAACAAACAAATGCAATTCTCTAAAATCAGAAAAGGAGGTGTCCTACTCCGCCCCCCCAGGTGCCTGCAAATTATCAAAAGAACATGGAAAACAATACCTGATTGATCAGTATGGGGCCAGTTTTTAGATGAGACACATGGGTTACTTGAGATCTATGACTGTGAGAAAACTCTTTGCATCATTCTTTGAATGTGACTGGGTTTCTGGTCAGCATTGTCTCTTTCCTTGGTTAAGGGTCTCTAAACAGCAGGTAGATCCAACTTACCAGTCACACAAGGCTAAGCTCAAACAATGTAATAAGGTTTTCTCCCAATTCTAACAACTGAATAAAGTTTTCGCAAAATAGGGATTGCTCTAGATTCATAATTGAATAGAAAGGGGATGGAGCAAGCTCCAGATTTGAGTCACAAGATGGAGTTAATGTGGTTCACTCAGTTCCCACAATTAACCACTACCACTTGCTGCTCCATTCCCCTCAATTCCTTCAACATTTCATTGGCAAACTGCTAGTTACTGCTAATAAATTGATTTACTTGCAGCTTTTTGCCTCAGTTTCTCAGGTTTCAATCATGACAGTGTCATAACTGGAGGTCTAATGTATCTAAAAAAGATATAAGCTGCTTTTATAATAGGAAAACCATATCCTGTCAAAGAGGCTTAGCATAAGCGTTTTAGATACTTATCGTTATATCATTCTTGGATTCACTTTAGCTTTTTTGAATCTGCAATTGCAGATTCTGAGACCTTGTTAGACAAGTAAACATGCCAACTACACCATTTCTTACGTAGGAGACACAAGAGGGCTTCTAGTACCTCTCTCACTACCAGGTTCACTTTTGATCCAGTCAGACAGGAAGACAGGAATGGAGTCATAATAAGGGTTTAAATAAGCTTACTTTATTCTAGTCTAGTCTTCTCAAAGGGAGTTTGCTGATAATGGGAGCTCCAATTCCTATAGCATTCCCTAACAACCCTTCTCACAGGGGCTGGTGTGAGGTGGGGGGAGGGGGGCCACAACTACCCCTCCATCTTAATGGGGTCAATTGAGACAAGCACAACTTGAGCACTCCCCTTAATCCCCTCAAGCCTTAATGGGGGTCAGTTGAGGCAAACACACAGATTCCCTCTCCCAAGCCTTGGTGGGGGCCGATCAAGGCACACACAGCATTCAGCCTGCACGTTCACCCCTAAGGGGGTCCCCAGTCACTGACCAGTGCCCACTTGCTCTAAAGGGCAACAGACAAAGAAGGCATATTGCCAGCAATAGACTCACAATTTTACATTATTTCATCCCTATATCTACCACGACTGTGCAGCAGCAACTGTTTCCAACCATGATAGTGAGAAGTCATATCTAACATCTGGGAAGTAGAGATTTTTATGGTTATGTGTCCTGGGAAGAAAATTCTAAGAAAGAATAACAAAAAATCCACCTTTACACACTAAAATTCACTTTATTACAGACTTGAAAAAGACTCACCCTTTAGAGGGAGACTCAAACTTCTCTCTACTCCTTTAGAAGGAATTTCACCTTAACTGTTCTTTGCTACTTTATTTTCTTTTAATGTCCAGGTGGGAATGGATGTGTGAGGAACAACATGTGATATTGATTTTCTGATCCTTCTCCTACAAAAAGTGGGCAATGACCTATACATTGTGCTTTTACTCTCTTCTTAATTCTGTATCTAACTTCTGTCCTCTCATTCAATTGAAACTTCTCTCTCCAAAGTTACCAATTATCTCCTTATAAAGAAGCTTGCCTTGAGAATGCCCAGATTGCCTAACATGGAGGCACCCTGAATTCTGCTTTCTCTTACCATGGGAGTGGATGTAGCCTGCTCTGATTGACTACATAGCTGGAACAGGCCACATCTTTAGAACTGGATAGACTGGGAGAATCTTTCTTTTCTGTGCATCATTCTTTCTTACTCTGTCTAGAAGGTGAGGATCACAAAGTTCATTCACAGCACAGGCACCATGAACTGAATGAATGAGGGGAAGGAGGATTTTTTCCCCCTTCACTCTTCTCTTTTTTACTCCTTCCTTGAAGTGTTTGTCTTGGTTCCTTTACTTGCCCTCAGTTTCAGGTATAAGCAGTAAAATCCCCATCTGAATGTGAGCGCAAGCCAAGATGATCTCGAAGCCAGGATTCCAGGTAGAATGTTATAGCAGTTGATCCCAGAGAAACCAGAGTGCCTGGGACTTGAGTCCAAGTTGGGTTTTAGACTTGGAACTTAGGACTGAGCTGTATAGGCCCTGAGCTAAACTGTGAAACTAATTCCCTTTTTCTCCCCAGAGACTGAGGTTTGGGGCAAGAGAGAGATTAAGCCCCTTGTATTATGGAGTAATATATGTGATTATGCCTTTGATATGAGTATTCTTCTGTAAAAACTAATCTATTATTGACTAAATGAAACTGAGGTGCAGGGGACCAACCCCTATAATTGGGCAAACACTGTCAACTGAGGCTGGAGCCATTGGCAGAGGACCTGGACCTGATAATCTGTTTAAGGTTACCAAAAACCCTGGAGGATGGGAGAAAATTGACATACATGGCCTTCAGGAAATCAGAACCCAATCCCTTTTGAGGGTCTTGGAGTCACTTCATTTCCTTACTCTTGACATCTTCACTCAGTGTCCCCCATGCCTGGAATGCTCTCCCTTCTCATCTCTGCCTCCTGGCTTCCCTGACTTCCTTCAAGTCCCAGGTAGAATCCTACCTTCTACAGAAATCCTTTCTTGATTCTTCTTAATTCTAGTGTCTTCCTTCCATTGATTATCCCCAATTTATCAAGTATATATCTTGTTTGTATATAGTCATATTTGCACATAGTTGCATGTTATTTCTCTTAATAGATTGTGAGCACCTTGAAGGTGGGAACTATTTAAATCTTCCTTTGTATCCTTAGCATTTAGCAATGATTTAGTCTTATTGATTACTGTGAGGGAACACTGGAATTGCCTGAAGTTTTCTCATTACTTACTCTTTCGGATTAACATGCAACTGTTCTCTGGGAGGCATGTAAATTGGAGAAGGAGGAGGGTTGCCATTATAAATGAAATCAATTAACAAATACCTTGCCCTTGTAGCAAGGGAGAAGGAGACATGTCACTGGTACTCCAACTCTCATTTTCTTGGCTGCCTTGCTCACCCAACTTGCATTTAGGCTTCTGGTTCTGGAGCTCACAGAAACAGTTATGCAATGCTGCCATAATTCAAGATACTCTATCTGGATCCTAGGGTTAAGCTGGTTATAGGGGAAGATATACTCTTACTACTTCCTATTTTAGCTATTGTGTCTCCTTGAGTGTCCCTTCCAAATCACCTTGTCTCACCCTGGAATTTCCCTAATCACTTAGAGCCTCTTTTACCTGAAATATCCAATCATGCCTGTGATCCTTTCAACCTGAAATCTCCCCCTGGAAGAGTATGTTCCCTTTCTCACATTGGTGAATCCCTCCAGGAACCTGCACTTTGTGGATGGATCCAAGCTGATCTTCAGTCACCTCCCAACCTTGTTCCTGGCTCTCAGATTTCAAAAATATGTTGTCCTGCTCTATAATTTCCCTCGGTACCTGGAATCTCCTTGCCATGGAACATCCAGTGTGACCCCTGCAGTCTCCTCAACTTCAGATATTCCTGCCCTCCTTGTCCCATTGACGAGTTCCTCCTGTAGCCTCCATTTCCTGGGGAGAGCCCTGGCCAGCCTTCCTTCCCCTCCCAGACTGAACCCTGGTGAGCAGAGTACCTTTTCCTCCTCCCTTTTCAGCTTCCTTTGGTGTGTTGACTGTCTGCATTTGAATGTAATCTTCTTGAGTGTAGGGACTGTTTTCTTTTTGCTTGTGAGTGCCTGGCACATAGTAAATGCTTAAAAATGCTTGTTTCCTTCCTTCATTCTTTTGCTCGTTTGCCCTTTCCTTCCTTCCTTCTTTCCTTCCTTCCATTTAAATGAAACCAGTAACCATGACGTTATGCATTCTTGCACATATATTTATTTTTCGAAAATAAAACAGAACTAGGAATAATCATAGCAATTATTCACGAGAGAGAACAAACAGTAATAATCAAACACCAGTTATTCAATCAAAGGCATAATCAGGGATGATCAGAACATCTGAGTCCATACATGAATCTGAGTCATGCTCTTGCACTAATGCATGCAATGTCTGTAGAGGAGACTGAGGACAGATTTAGAGAAACCTGGCAGGGAGGCCACATAAATAAGGGAAACCATATGCCAGGGGAACTCATAACTCTGGACTACAGCTCTTGATGTCCTTGGTGTCTCCAAGAACTCTCTGTGCCACACAAAGTCTCTCTTCCCTGGAGAGGGACTATAGTCAGGAGCCCTGGGCTGTCAGGGGGCTGACAATAAAGAACTTGGAGCAGGGATAGGAGGAGAAGAGCTCTGAAAAGAGGGTGCGGAAATGCAGAAGGCAGAACTTGCCTATCTTACTGTGTTTGGAGTACAGTTTTAACATATTTGAGAGACTCAATTTTTCCCATCAGGTCATCCAATTGACTTTGCTTCTCTTCCTCTTCGGCAGTTTTGTTATTGAAAGCGCAGTATGGAATCTTATGTTTTTTAATGAGCCTCGTAAGATGCTTATTGTCTGAATTTTTCACATAATCACTCAGACTGCCCCCCTCTAAATCTTCTTTCCTTGTAAAAAGCAGAACCATTTTCTTACGGGCCTTTTTAAAAATCTTTTTCACAGATCTGTAGACTTTCCTGTCCTCTTTTGTGTACCGGCCCAATTGAATCACCATAATTAGAATGCAAAAATCCTTTTTCCACCTGTTTATCAAATCTACATCTTTTGAGATGGAAGGAGTATCCACGACAACCAGTTTCCCTCTTTTCCATGTCCCATAACCTTCATTTACTTCCTTAGTTACAGGTTGTGCTGACAGTTTGGAAATAAATTCAGCTTTCTTGAGGATACTGTTTCCTGTTGCACTCTTCCCAACTCCACTTTTCCCCACAAGAATGAGAGTCAGAGGACCTGTTGGAGAAATTTTAAAAAATCTTTTTTTCATAATGATGAATTATTGACTAATAATATTGCCCTGAAAATACACCTTAGAAAAATATATAGTCTTTTTAATTTAATAATATATAGTCCTTTCTATGATTTGGTTGTCTCCTACGTTAGTGTAAAGTCTCAACAAGATTTCTATCATTTCTACCCTTCCATTTTTCTGTTGCTCAAGATTCGGGTGAAGTCCTCCAGGCAAACCAACATGGAATCATGGCTTTCAATAGCTCCAGAGAGAAAGCCTTTCAAACAGAGGAGACTTGGTGAGAATGAGAAGGGCTTGGGTGAGGAAGAAAAAGAGTGAGAGATCACTTGTCGGAGGATGATTTATAATCATTATTTATATATCAGTACATCAGAAATTGGTGTTTACTGGTAGACATGTTATTTAATACCTGTCTATTTGAGCCCCTGGTGGCTGTGACTGTGTCAGAAAGGGCAGTCTCCTTCACCTTCACCCTCATCCAAAATGAAGGGGAGACCAGAAACCTCACGAGAGGCAAGAAATGAGCAAGTGTTCTGAAGGTAGGAGATGACAAGTTACAGCAGCACTGATTGGAAAAGGTTTAGTGCTACTGCACTGGAGAAGCATGGGGATGCAGCAGGGGTACACAGTGCATCCATGACAGTGGGGACAAGAGCTGTTGTTTGCTTTATGCCACAGCCTGCCAATTAGCTTCAACTTTGATGATATGGTGAGTGAAGAAAGGAGGTTGCTGTGACTCTGATAGACTCTAATCAGTGCTGAGTATAAGATGGAGATACAGGGTATTGCATTCATCGAGCTAAAGAGACAGAACTCAGTGGATTCAACACTTCCATGCTCAGTCTCTTTTCCTACACCACCTTCAACCCTGCTTCTGTCCAACGGTCTCTCTCTCTCTTTTCCTTTCTCTTTTGCTTTTTCTCTATTTGAATCTGCTTTACCAATCCTTTTTCATCAAGAGATTATTTACTGTTTTGTCACTTGTTGTAAAGGTACTGCTTTTTCAAACATCAAGAGGTTATTATAAATGTTTAATAGCTTTTTATGTGTCCTTGTTTGAGACCTCTAGGTTGTACAGTGAATAAAGCACCGACAGAGGGAGAGAGAGAGAGAGAGATGAAAAAGGATTCTTATTGATTTATATTTTATGACTTTTCAAATAGAGAAAGATTTTCAAAAGAAACCAAGGCATAACTGAGTTCTACAGCAATCATTATTGGAGGGCGGGCTGGAGTTAGTTCTGCTAAGGCCAATTGCTTTAGGCTATTGTTATTGCTGCACAGATTAAAGAAATCCATGCCCCTAAGGGATAGATTTGAGGGTGTGACTAAAGAGAAAGTCACAACTGAAAGGAGTTGGGAGCCAGTGACACTACCCACATGGGATTGGTTTTCTTACATGAAGAAGCTTAAAAGAAGTAGAAAAGAAAGGGGAGAAGGAATATACTGGAGTGGGAGGAGGGGAAGGGAAATCATCTCACGTAATTAGGACACACAAATAAAAGCTTTTGTATAGATTTTGTATAGAAGAACGAAAGAGTGAGGAGCCTGGGTGATACTTGAAATTCACTTTAATCTGAATTGCTTAGAGGAGGGGAAAATACACACATGTGTAAAGAGTACCCATTGATAAGAGTGTGGCTGAATAGATCTTGAATAACACAATACTCAGTACCCCAAGAAAACAGCAGAAGAACCTAAAAGTAATCAAAACAGGATAAAGCATGGCTCAGATATTTCCTTCAGAAGTGTTCAGCAACTAAGCCTGACAAAAAGCACGAAGTCAGGCTGGAAAAACAAGTAAACAACAACAACAAACAGAGTTATTAGGATGACAAGGATGCTCAAGACACAAACCTAGATGACAAGGACTATAAAACATTTGCAAGAAAAGCCTCAAAGAAAAACACAATCAGAGCACAAGTTCAACTAGAATTTGTGGATAAGTAAAAGCAAGAGATTTTTTTTCCTAAAAAGAGCTGCAAATGATTGTATGAATGAAATGAGACTACTAACAGAAACAATTAGAAAAGAAATGAAGAGAAAAATAAGCTTGGTGAGAGGCCTCGTTAAGCAAAGTAATCCAGATGGCATTTAGGGATGGAACTAGAAAGAAGACAACAAAGTGGGGGAAAAAAGTAAAATATCTATAAAAATGCTTTATAATAAACTCTTTTAGCATTAATTATAGTACAGTCACCATATGTGGATTCTGAAATCACACTTTGTTGTTCAGTCTTTTCAGTCGTGTTTGACTCTTCATGACCCCATTTCAGGTTTTCTTGGCAAAGAATTGGAGTGGTTTGCCATTTCCTTCTCCAGCTGATTTTAGAGATGAGAAACTGAGGCAAACAGGGGTAAATGACTTGCCCAGGGTCACAAAGCTAATAAGTGTCTGAGACCAGATTTGAACTCAAGAAGATGAGTCTTCATGACTTCAGGCCCAACACTTTATCCATTCCACCATCTAACTGCCCATGACATCATAGTGCCTGTTGAGAATATAGAAATGGCACCAGAGAGAACAAAGATGAGAAGAAGAGCTGGGCTGAACCAAATATACATAGAGAAGGTGCCTATGCTGATGGCAACAATTTTGAGGGAACTGGGGGACTGATTTTCAAGGTATCTGAAAAAGGGGAGTCAGCACGGCATTATTAAGAACAGATCAAACCAGACTAATTATAATACTCTTTTGACTAAAATGTCAGAGTAATCCCCTAAGCGCAGCATGACTGGATTTCACCAAAGCTTCTGACAATATCATTCATGTAGTTCAAGTAGATAAGATGGAGATATATGAGTTATATGATGATAGATTGTTTGAGACGTGGCTATATAACTGGAACCAAAGAGTACTCATTAACGGATCAATCTCAACCCAAAAGTAATTCTGTATTACTATGTCCTTAGGAATCTATCTTTGGATTTGTGCTGTTTAATATTGGTATCAATTACTTTGATGAATGCATCTATCTATCTATCTCAAGTTTATACAATTTTTTGGTCACCCAAAGTTGGGAGGAATAGTTATCATGGGAAGTAAAATAATTATTTATACATACATATATATATATATATACACATGTATGTATGTATGTATGTGTGTATATATGTATGTATGTATATATGTATGATATAGAGTGATCTCAATGGACTAGAATAATAAAAGTCACTTTCTCCAGGTAAGAAACCAAATGCTTCTGATTGAAAATTCTTTTATGATTCCTTCAGTGAATAAGACCATCTAACTGAGGTCTTGACAAAATTCCTAGGTGTCCCTTATTGATAAAATGTGGATAATAATAGTATCTATCTTACCGGGTTATTATAAGAACAAAATCAGATGACACAATTTATATGTAACTGTTTGTAAGTAAACATTATGTAAAGTGTTCTGCAAACCCTAAATTCCTACACAAATATTAGCTATTAGTTATTACATGTTCCTTGATGATGACAGCAACTGAAATTGAGTGAGAGTCACCACACAGAGAATACATTCCCTTTCTAGGGAGGAGAAGACGAAGAAATATTAAAATCCATTTGCACTCTTGACTATTGTTCTTTTTTTCCTCCTCTGAATCTTGGAGGGAAATTTTCCAGTTCAGAATGAGTTAGAATTTCCTTTTCTGGATTTTCACAGGAAAATAATCTGTCCTTTTATTTTCAGACTGAGATGTTAGTTATTAAATATTAGTGTAGTTGTTATGAGCAAAAGTTTGCAACTATCTTTCTTCTTGGACACATGACTGGTAGGATAGACTTTCGATGCCTGAGTATTCATTAATAACCAATAGAGAAGGAAGATGCTGGGAAAGCAGCAGAAAACATAAAATAGTTTTATCAAGTTCCTTAATCCTTAAATAGAAATTTAATGAGGTCAGCAGCTACTCCCAAGATTTTCAGGAAATTTTCAAAGAACTCATTAAAGTTCATAACCTCATTTCTGGCATCTCTTTGCTTATTTTCATAGAAAGCTTCTTTTTCTGCAAGTTCCTTATGCATTTCTTTTTCTCTTTCTTTTCGCTCCAGCTCATCCTTTAAGTTTCTGATTGCCTCTTCATATTCTTGTCTTATTTCCTTTTTCAGTCTTTCCAGGTCTTGCAAGTAGGATCTTTGCAATGCTTCAGTTTCTTTCTGAATCTTCTTTTCTGCCAGTTTATACATCTGGTTTGTGTAGCAAGAGCCTCCATTCTTCTGTACTACTTGCTCAACCAATCGCAGAAGTTCTATTAGCTGGCTCTCCTGCTCATTTCCAGTGGCCCTGTTGTTGAATGCACAGTATCTTCCATCAAACTGGCCAATCAGGTCTTTCAAAGCTTCATTCTTAGTTTCACCTAAGTATTGATTCAAATCAGCACCTTCCAAATCATCCTTCCGGGTCAATAAAAGGATCATATGTTTCTTGGCTTTGGAACCAAAAATCCTCAGGATCTTCTTTACTGCATCTTGTTCCTCCTTGGTATAATGACTGAGTGGGACCACCAGGATGATGGCATGAGGCCCAGGGGAGGACATAATGAGGCAGCGACTGATCTCCTTTGAAGTGTCCACATTAGACACATCAGTGTCAAAAATCCCAGGAGTATCCACAACTACAATTTCTCGCTCATTCCACAATCTGCTTGTTTTCACACTGTTCTTGGTCACTGACTTTGCTGCTAGTCTTGCCTCAAATACTCGTTTTCCAAGGATGCTGTTCCCTGTTGCACTTTTCCCAGCTCCTGTTTTACCCACCAGGACAAGTCTCAGTTGCTTTTTGCTGGGTTCTTGGTGTCCGTAACCTGAGATGTGGGTAATGAGAGTGATAGGGTTAAGCTCTACCTTCAACTGCTGTCCTTTCAGTCTCACTTTCCACCCAGGACAGACATGTCTCTGCTCTTAGCTCCAGCCTCAGAGTCACATGCACTCTGGCATTAGGTCCTTCAGTAGTAACAAGCATGTAACTCTCTGGCTCAGGTATAAGTTCACCTTATTGATGTTTGACACCTAATATTGACTCTTTTGTTGGTCTGCCCATCCTGTATCCCTCAAATGCTTCTAGAACTAACCTTATTTATCTTCATAAAACTTTCTGTTTTTTAATATAATTTAACAAAACATTTATTGAGTGACTGCTATGTGCAAGGCACTGCACTGAGCCTGGAGAGAACTATAAAGGTAAATAATTCACAGACCATGTTGTCAATGAACTTACGTGTTTCTCTCTTCTGTCCTTAACTTTCTATTCCCATTCCTAATACCCTACTTCAGACCTGTATTATTATAGTATTTCTATAAGTGGAGTCTAATCTCTCTTTCTCAATTCACAGAGGCAGAGTGGTGTCATGGAAAAAGTGCTGGATTCAGAATCAGAAGACCTAGGCTCTAATGCTGGCTTTGCTTCTTATTACCTGTGTGATCTTGGGGAAGTCACCTCACCTATGGGAGCCATGTTTCCCCAATATGTAAAACGAGGAAGTTGGATTAGATTAGGGCTTCTTAAACTTCTTCTACTCATGATCCCTTTTCACCTGAGAAATTTTTTATGTGACCCTGGTTATACAGGTACATAAAACAGGTATATAGATCAAACATTTACTGATAACAAATCATAAAGAAATTTATTTTAAGATAATTCTTTGGTATACATATGATTTTACCATTTATTAAAGATGAAAGCAAATTTGCACACTAATGCGATGGATGTGCTTGTTTATTTTTACATAAAGAATTAAATCTTGGTGGAATATTTGATACTGTAGGATATAGAGTATCATCAACATTTTTCATAGTTGATCGATATTTTGATTTTGTAATTATCAATGCTGAGAATGCCTTTTCACATAAATACTGAGTATAAAAAGGCAGAAGTATGTTTAGGGCCATTTCAGAAATTGTTGGAAATTTTGGCCTAATCCAAAGCAAAAATTCATTTAATGATTGTTTATGTACAGTAAAAATACTGCAATTCATAATATACAAATCTTGAATCTGAGCCAAGGTGTTTCTGGCAACATTCATGGCACTGAGTGGCATGATGGCATGCACAGTGTAAAGTGTACATGCTGTATGTTCAGAACCAAGGGGGTAATGAAGTTGCATGATGCAACATGGGCAAGCACTGCCAGAAACACCTCAGATTCATTACATGTTTGATTTTGAATCAGATTTTGGTCTCTGCACATTCAGAAATCTTTTACTGTTGCCAAATTTTTCACAACCCCCACATTCACTTACATGACCTCATATGGGGTCACAACACACAATTTAAGAAGCCCTTCTCTAAATCACTTTTGATTACAGAAATGAAATTAAAACAGCTGTGAGGTACTACCTCACACCTATCAGATTGGCTAATCTGTCAAAAAAAGGAAAATGATAAATATTAGTGAGAACGTGGTAAAATTGGGATGCTAATGAACCATTGGTGGAGTTGTGAACTGATCCAACCATTCTGGAGAGTGATTTGGAACTATGCCCAAATAGCAACAAAACTATGCATACCTTTTGATCCAGCAATACACTAGGTAGGTCTGTATCCCAAAGAGATCACAAAAAGGGGAAAAGGACCTATGTGTGCGAAAATATTTATAGCAGCCTTATTCATGGTGTCAAAATATTGAAAACTAAGGGGATTCCCATCAATTGGAGAATGGTTGAACAAGTTGTGGTATGTGAATGTAATGAAATACTATTGTGCAATAAGAAATTATGAACAGGCGGATTTCAGAAAATCGTGGAAAGACTTGTATGAACTGATACAAAGTGAAATGAGTAGAACCAGAAAAACATTGTACACAGTATCAGCAACATTGTATGATAATCAGCTATGAATGATTCAGCTCTTCTCAGCAGCACAATGATCCAATACAAGTACAAAGGACTCACAAAGGAAATTGCTATCCACATCCAGATAAAGAACTGATGGACTCTGAATACAGATCGAAGCATCTTTTTTCCACTTACTTTATTCTTTCTTATGGCTTTCTTTATGTTTCTTCTTTCACAACTGTGGTGAATAAAGAAATATGCTTTATATAATAGCATATGTATAAACTATATCAAACTGCCTACCATTTTAAGAAGAGGTGAGGGGAAGGAGGGAAGGTAGAAAATTGGGAACTCAAAATCTACTAAAAAGTAATGCTAAAAATTTTCTTCACTTATAATTGTGGGAAAAATACTATCATGAAATAAAATAAAATAAAACACCATATTTATCACATCACTTCCATCTTCTAAAACCTTTCATGACTTTTCATGACACTTTATTATATGGGATAAAGACTCAATATTTTAGTCTGACATTCTACATTCTCCATAATGCTTTCCCAGTCTACTTTTCTAACCTTGTAACCCAATCTTTTGTAGATTATCCAATCAGGTGAGTCTCTTCACTGTTTTCAAGACTCACTGCCAGCATTCTCATTGCCAAGACTTTGTTCACTCCATTCTCCACATAAAGAATGTCAGATTGTTCTTTACTTCTCTAGAACTTAGACCTCATTCAGGGCTTAGCCCTTTCTTAAAATCTTTCCTAATGACCTCAGCTCATGGTGAACTTTTCATCCTCAAAACCTATATAGGGCTTTTTGTTTTTGTCATTCTTTTGGTACTTGTCCTACCTGCCTTGTACTAGCAGTTAGTTTTATACATGCAGTGAATCCTTTCCTAATTAAAACAGATCTATATCCAGAAATAGTTTATATAGAGAGGTAGCTAGCTGACATGATAGATAGAACTAAGGAACTGGAGTCAGTAAGACCTGAATTTGAATCTTTCCTCAGATACTTACTACCTATGTGGTCCTAGGCAAGTCATCTATACTCTTTCAGCCTCAGTTTCCTCTGTCAAATGGTAATAATAAAACTACTTACCACATAGAAGACCAACTACCTACCACATAAAGACCAGCTGAGAAAACCTGTGAAAAGTGCTTTGCAAACCCTAAAGCCTTTATGTAAATGTTAACTGCTATGTGTGTATGCGTGAATAACTGTGTGCGTGAATGGAAAATAAAGAGTTTCATAAAAAAAAGAAGCCATACCTAAGCATAGCCTGAGTAACCATAATAAAAACTTGAAAAAGTCAAATGCTGTAATATCACATCCAACATTGCTTTGATTGGTTGGCAAAAGCCAAGAGGAAAAATGGGCAAAAAAGAGAAGAGAGGGTTAGGGCCAGTAAGCAGCAAATATCCCAAGGATGGAGCCAGGGATGAAGAGCTATCTGCAATTGTCACTAAGATTTTCCACATAATAGTAACCAGTCTTGGTAGACCTTGAATGCTCTGGCAATTAAATTATTAAGCCCTAAGGACAAATACATTGAAGTATATTTCCCCTGGAACAAAAACAGCTAACAGGTGATAGATGAAAATTGGAGGGTGGTATCACACCAACATTCTAATTAGGTGGAGGAGGTAACTGATCCAATTACCCTCCTCTCCCATCCTCTGTTGGCCCTCAACCTAACACTGTTGACATTTCCACTACCCTTCTTTCCCCTCAGGGGTAGACACTAGTAGAGGACTGAGGTATGGAGTTATATACAAGAAGGAAGGGTGTCTCCTGAATGTCAGCAGCTGATTCAGTTCATTTATAGCCATGCCCTCAAACAAGCAGGGAATATTTTCCCACAAAGAATATATTAGTCGCTATAGCAGCCACCTTCTCATTTCTTCTCCCTATATCACACTACATGAGCACAACATCTTGTCAGAATGAATGGATAGCTTAGACCCACAATGGCAACCCTAGATGTCCTGGCTATGGCCAACCTCATCCAGTAGAGCCCCTTTTAGTGATGGAGGAAATAAACAGACTCTTACCCCCCTTTTTTCCTATTGTTATTGTTGTGACAATGAGGGATCTAGTTAAACATACAGGAAGGAAAAAAAGGAGAATGAATTAGAGAATATGAAGGAAAAAGGAAAATAAAGAAAGAAGAGAAACTGAGTGAAGGCCAGGCAAATGGAGAATGCTGCTCAGAGAAGCTTTGGTATACTTAGAAAATGACCAAAATCCTACTTGCAAAAAATAAAATGGGAACCTTATCTGATTTCAGTCACCTCCCACTCCAACCCTATCCAGGGGAGTCCTGGGTGTGTGCTCACCATGGCTTGTCTCCTCACTCATGTTGTCAGGATTGTCTTCACTATAGCCTTTGATGATTACAGGGTGCAACTTCTGTAGAAAAAGAATGAGAACTGAAGTCATTGTCAATTGTGTTGAAGTAAAAAGAGACTGTGACTCAGGTTCAGGAGACCTAGGTTCTGGTCCACACTTCTGCCTTTAACTGGCTTTTTGGACTTGGCCACATCACTTGCCTTCACTGGGTCCTGGACTGGAGATAGTGTAGCAAGGGCGATGAATAGCAAGAAGACAAGTTTGACTAGACTGGAAAATTCATGAAGAGGAGTACTACAGATATCATAGGAGAGGTAGGTTGGGGCCAGGTGGCAAAGAGATTTCTATGCTAAACAGAGGGTTTTATATTTTACTGCAGAGACAGTAGGGAGCCAACAGAGATTATTGAGTAAGGGAGTGACTTGCTCAGACTGTGCTTCGGGAAAATCAATTTGACAACTATTAGAGAATGGACGGGAGGAGGGAGAGGCTAAACAGAGGGAGACCAAGTAGCAGAGAGCAGATGCAGGGTTTGTAAGTGTGGTTTTCTTGGCCTGGTCCTCTCTCCAAAAGTCTCCAGTGGAACCGCTTGCTCCTTGCCTTTCCCATCACTGCTGTGATGATGCCAACCAAGGGCAGCCCTTTCTGAAAATGACCATAACTTCTTCACCAGCCATGACCTATTCCCTTATGGCACAGTGGCCTAAAGCTACCAGTTGACATTTAGCCACTTCCTCCAGGCCATGTCTGTGCCTCATCCCCTTCTCTCATCTGTACTGGCCTAAGGGTCAGGATTTGCCTACCAAGAGCTGCTGCTGAGCCTCTGGCCAGCCCTGAGTGCCCTGACTCTGGCTTCCCCTGCTCCCAATCCAGAACGGCTTAACTGAGATTTTTAAACCCCCAGTACTTTAACTCTTTGCTGAAATCTCTGTCAGAGGAAAGAGTTGTGGTTTCAATTTGTCTGGCACTCCCCACTTTCCTCTTATTTTTCTGAAGACGATCAATGGTTTTCATCGGGGTTAGGGAATTCCTGGGGACGAACCTCCTTCTACTAGTGCATCAGCACCCACTCTGCAAGGTGCAAGCTGAAGATGTTGTCCTGAGACACTGAGAAGTTAAATGACTTTCCCAGGGTCACATGATCAGTATATGGCAGAGATAGCAGAGATCTTGTGTCCTTCTACCAAAATTCCTTGTCTCCTTGTTTCCTTGTGCCTTATCTCTGAGGCCAGCTGTCTACCCAATATTCTATGTAGCTTTGCATTTCCCTCTTTTGGTGAAGCTAAATATAAAATGATACTCATTTCTTAGAGATAGTGCAGTGTTCTAAGACTAAAACACAGATATGTGATGAGTAACTAAGTTTGTTCAAGTTTCATAACATTGAAGGATGTATGGGGTTATGAATCAATCTTCTCTTTAACTTTCTGACCTAAGAGGAATGTACAGAATTACAATATATAAAAGAATTATTTCTCTGTAACTCTAATGTAATTTTGTCTATAAGAAGCCTAGGGTTATAATTGGCTTTCAGATCTTCTTTGCTTATGCTTGAGCATAATAATAAAATCTAGATTTTTACCTCTATAAGTTCTGCAATGTGGTAAATATATATTTGGCAGAAGTTACCCACAATGGGACCTCAAAGAGGAGCTATTTCTCCCATAACATGTCATAATCCTATTAAAACTTTGAGAATTTAAGAGTAGACTTGCAATTCCCATATTTTGACTTTGGGATTTGGGGGATTAAAGTTTTATGAGTGTGCAACGTTACCCTAAGTGACTCCATGTTTAAACCTTGCTTTACCATTGGGTATTTAGGCAACCAGTCTATGAGAAACAGCAGTCTGGAAATAAGTCTTGAGCACGCATACTTAGACATGGGGAAAAGATAACATGACATAAAACCCATTTCCTCATGCATACACCAATCAGCATTTTTTTTTTTTTTTGCCATTACATGGAAGTTTTTTCTCCTGTCTATAGGAGCTGTGGCAGTTTGCAATCAGTGCTCCTTACTGCATGGGTATAACAATAAATGACTTTTGTCTTATTTCCTGAGCTTGTCTTATTAACCATGGCAAGGCCCAAATGAAGATTTTATCTGTCAACATGAAATACAAAGGACTACCAGAGTAGCAAAAACTAGGGTCCTCAATTGAAGCAATGGGATTTCATTTCTGGGCACCATTCCAGGACCAAAGTACTAGGGAGCCAAAGAGGGGCAGACATTGCAGGGTCTAAATACATTTCAACAGGGAGGAAGTCTCACTGAAGGCACAGCCTTGCAAGCTGTCACATTAGTTGTTCTGCATAATAATTGAAGATCCATAAAGAGGGCTGGGGAGCCCACAGGACAGTAGGCTGTAGGTGCAACAAGGAGGAGTTTCACAAAACCAGTGGGCTGGGGACAGGCTCCAACCATGGAATCAGAGCCAGGTAGCCCCTCTGGTGGCTGCATTCAACATTCTTGACAATGGACACAAAAAAATATTGTACCAAAAACTTAACTGAATGCACAAAGATTACTTTCTAATTTAGTTATGAGTAACTTGACATTCTTGCACAGTGCTACTGGCTATGACAGTATATCTACCAACTAGTTCATCTGAGACTGAGTCAGAAATCCTGGCTTACATTCCCAGTCTCCTCACTCACTAGCTGTGTGATCTAAGACAGGTAACTAACTTCTAGGTGTCTTCACTTCTCCACAGAGTTCAAAGGAGAGAATATGAGACAGTACAGGAATAAAGGGATTTTTAGATTTTAAACATATCTGCCCCTAATGTGGGCATTGCTACATGTTGCTGTTACTGCATCCAAATATGTAATCTCTGCAATATGAAGCTGAAAACATTTCTTATTCCATCTCTGAAAGAAAGTATGTGATCAATTTGAAAAGGGCCAAATAATCTTTGTTTCAGTGTAGTTTAAAAATATCTTCATTGGTTTGAAATTCTTTGGCTAAAAGTCATGTGTAACCAAGGATGGCTGGTAACTAAGGAAAACCCCATTTGCTAAGAAGCTGTTATATGCAAACTTGAGGTTACAAAATCCCTTTCTTTTGGGAAAAGGGTTATTTCCTTCTTTATTAAGAAAGTAGAAAAATCATTCCTTTTCAAGTGGTAAAAATCAATGTTGGAGTTTGTGAAAAATGAGATTCAGAGTTTTCCCCAGCCTCTTCTTTCAAAGTTCAGTTCCTTCTTCAGAAGGACATTACTTTTAATGATATTACATTTACTCTCCTTGTCCTGGTCAAAACCCAACTCACAGCCAGAAAGTAGTTTAATCTGCTTCCTTATCCAGAAACCAACCAATGTGGGAAATCTTTCTTAAAGATTTACCCAAAGCAAGATCTAATCAGATAGTAAAAGAAACTCTTCAGTTTGGGCTAATGGGCATACTCCTGCTCATTGTGTTTGCTCTGACAGGTCTGGAAAAATGTTGATTCTCTCTATTGTCAAGACAGGTGATATGGAAATTGATGTCTCTTTAACCAAGATTTATGTGACCTAAGTCACTTACCCCAAGACCCTCATTTTAATATACCCAACTTCCAGTGTGTTAACCAATAAGAATTTATTGGCACCCCTTGAGAACGCCTACTCTTTGAAGGACATATAAGCTACACCTGGACCCAAAATGATCTCTCAGTTCCAAACTGTTAGCTCCCATGCAGTGCATGACTGCCCGCTTTGACAGAAATAAAATGATAGCCATAATCTAATCATGTTTGTCTTTCTCAGACCAAACTCTTGGAGGGTGACAGGTTTCACAGAGAGCAGCAACAATGCTCTGCGTGCTGAAGGAAGCCTGAAGAGACATCTAGTCCAGTCCTGTGCTGTCAAATGGATTATATTCATGTGGCATGAATGGCTTTCTTGCTTTTTTGGCTTTTCTCTAAAAGATAGAAAGAGTAAAGTATATGTGACAGCAAGACTGTTCGTTTTCAAATGTAAAGATCCATGCAAAAAGGGAGATGTAAAGAAGACTATAGATGCACCCTCTAGAAGCTTCTAGGCTGCTGCCATACACAGCCTCATTCTGGAGTCAAAGGAAAGTACTGAACAGGAAATGCAGCCGCTTCTCTCAAACAGAAACAAAACAAAACAAAATAAAAACCCTAAAGAGGAAACATTTGGAACCCTCGTTTTATTTGCTGCTTCTCAGTGTAATCCTCAATGTCCAAAAACAGTAGAAGAGTAAACCAGGGATGGAAGGAATTGACTTGTCTAAAGCCAGAGGTTAGTCTACCCCAGGGTTGGCAGCGAGTTAGAGCAGAGGCCCTCAGTTTTTCCTATGGCCTTGGGAAGGACAAGTGTTACCCAAGTCCAGGGCTCCCAACAGTCTCTGGGGGATGGGTAGGGACAGGTGATGGAAACTATCTCCTAAATACCTTCACAACTAGAAAGTGTCTGTCTATCTAAAGTGTTCCTTATTCATGAACACAGCAGATGGTCTAGCTACATTACATCTTGGGGTCTAAAGGACACCAAGCAAACCTCTTCTCCTAAAATGTCTCCCTTCCTCTTCCTGCAATTTTCTCCTTGGTAGGGCATTCTTTTGAGTTAGCCTTGCCTCCTCCTTGAGATCCTGTTTTAGAGGACAAATGGTTTGTGGGCAGGATGATAATACACTGTAACTCTAATACTTTTGTAGCAGTTATGTGTGAGTCTTTTAAATGACTTTACTCTCTGACAGGAGAAATGGGACAGCATTAGGACCCTGGGTTGCTGGTGAAGAAGGGAAGCTCATGGAGGAAAGTACAGAAAGAGGAGGGTGGGGCCACCAAAGATAAATTGCTCAGATGTCAGCTTCCCTGGGACACTGACCCTGCTGGGGAGATGAGACTGTATAGTCACAGAATTCCCAGAGAGAAGACCTGAAAGTTGTCTTCACCACAAGAGAGATATGGGAGAGTAAGAAAGAAAGCCTCCAAGTTCATCATAAGGAAAAGGGGGTCAGCTTTGACTCTCCATCCTATCCCTTACCTTCCTGGTGGCAGATCTGGCCAATCTTCTCTACTCCTTCCCCCACCTCCCTTCCCACACACACACTTCTTAGTTTGGAGAAATGGAGCCATCCAGCCCCACATAGCTGCTCCTGCAGAGCCCTTCCAGCTCCATGACATGGCCCACCCCTATTATTTCAGGTGCTGTTTGCGAGTATCACAGCAGCCATGTTGGGGTTACTCTTAGCTGGCTCACAGCAGAATGCAGCAAAATTGTAAAGTGAGCTCAGGCTATCTTTGATGCCTCTTTGCCTCCTTTTTCTCCCCCTTTATTTTTCCCTGGGAACTATTGCAAAAACCCAGAAATGGAGAGGAATGGGCAAAGCACCCCCCCCCAGGAAGTTCAGAGGAAGGAAGGTGAGCCTGGGCTGGCTTTCTTCTCTTCTTTTGGGGAAGTCTAAGTAAATTTTTCTCTAGGAAGAAAATGGAGGCAGAGGACACCTGGAGAAAGCAATGGTTACCACAAAGAAATTAACATCTAATCATGAGATAGATATCCAGAACAGGCACATGAGGCACAAAAAAGAAAGGGGAACATTTTAGGGAAACTGAAATTTGCCTTTCAACTATAACACTCAGGACATCACCTTCTCTGTTTAAGAGTAAGGTTAAGGGGCAGCTAGGTGGCTCAGTGGATAGAGCTCTGGCCTTGGAGGCAGGCGGACCTGAGTTCAAATCTGACCTCGGGCACTTGATACTCACTAACTGTGTGACCCTGGGTAAGACACTTGACCCCGATTGTCTCACCAAAGGGGGTGGGAAGAGAGTGAGGTTGGTTTCTCATTTTGGGGTCATGACTTTGTCTATGAGTCCCTATTCTTTTATAGTGACCCAAACTTCAATTCAATAATGACCCTGGCTCAACTCTATAGGCAGATTTGTTTGTTCCTTCCTTCAGATTTGCAGATCAAGCACAGGTTTCCTCCCTCACCCACCACCCCCCAGAACAGCCCTCACTCACAAATTTGACAAAGTATGAAAGGACAATCATTCACTTGAGAAGGGATGGTCCTCCATAAACCAATTCAGGGGGCTATTGGAGGGAACGGGGATTCAGTCAACACACATGTACTTCACCCAAACTCAGTAGCAGCCAAGTTATGACTTTAAGCAATCAGAGAAATAAAGCAGACTGTCTGAGAGGGGAAGGTCTGCCCCTGGACAAAGCAGGGAGCCCACCCTCCTGAAGAGGTGCCATCAACCCCTTACCTGGCCAATCCGGGCACTGTGGCTTTACCAAAATGCACAGCCTTCTGTCTCCCTTCTCAAAGATCTGAGCTTTGGAATCAGCGTTGGTGTAGGGTGTGCCTGGAGCCTGGCTTTGTGTGAGCAGCAAAAGGCAGATGGAAAGCGAAAGTTGTCTGACATAAGGACTGCCCATTTCCTGAAACTGGGGAAATAAAGAAAAAGAGACCTTTAATGTTACCTGACTGGGTGTGCTGTCCCCACTGAGCCCCTTTAAGGCAAAAGAGTCACTGAATAAAGAAACCAGGAGACAGATTTTTACTGGGCACGAAATACTCCTCTCAACTAACATGTAAGCAGCTCTTAATTATTAGATCTCTGGCTTAACTAGACCTTTGCTCACTCTCCCTCCTTCGCTGTCTCCCTTCCTACCTTAGGACCATTTTCCTGCTTGCTTACCTGGCCATGATTTTCAAGCTCCTCCTACCCCTTCCACTAAAATCTTCTGATAAGTGAGCTATCCCCCTTCTCTTCTTCTATAAGCTACACTGTCCTGATGAAAGAAAAATTCTTCATTTGGGCTTTCACACTGATTAAAGAGGCAAAACTCAGGAAAAACAGAATTAAATGGGTTGTATTATAAGTATGTCAAGGTAGCAACACATTGAAGGCTGGTCACTGATTGATAAGCAGGGCTGGGAACAATGGGGAACTGAGGCAATGTACCTTTAAAAGTTCCTTTAAGGCCTTCTTCACAGGGAACAGTTTTGTGAAGAAAAAGTGAAGAAAAATGTATTTTTGTATAAAGAAAAGATTTAAAACAACTCTTGAGGGATATAAGATATTGCCATTGCTGCAAACACACCTTTGGATGCCTAAAATGAGTCAGAAAAGAACTTCTGACTACAAAAAACAAAACTAGTAAAATACATATATAACAAGTATTCTAGGCCCACTTTCCTAGCACTAGGCTGCTACATCTCCCTAGAGGTAACCCTCAGGATTGGGGTATCCTTTTTATGGTGACTAGAGCCACAGTTCTATTTAACTACTTAATATCAATTAGCTTTTTACAAAGAAATATTTACTTTCAAGATATAAGAACAAATACAAACACCCCATCACCTCAAGCACTTATTCTCCCCAATAACTCCTTGACCTCTGGGGAGACAGTGGGCTCACACACCTAATAAACTTTCTAGAAACAAAATTTCCACCTAATTCATGTCCAAATGCAGCCACTCAAAGAAACTGCCATTGACCATATGATTAATGGGTTGGGGAATGAGTGAAAGAATGTCTATGCACACTCCAAAGTCTTCCCAATGCATTTTCATTATACAATCATCACAATTTTCCCAAAGCAGATTCCCCTGCCTCTTCCACATGAGGAACTGCACGAGTTTATTGACCAGTCCTTCATTACATGTATACAAAGAAACATAGCTTTCAGATGGAATGTGAACAGCTTTGGGCAGAAAATGAATTGTGACATAAATATGAAGACTCAAAATCCTCCCTTGGGACTTCTGGGAGCCAAGATGGCAGACTAAGCAGTAAATCATTGTAGCTCTCCCATATTCACCTCCAAACAATCATAAAATAGCACCCTAGAACAAATAGAACTGGCAAAAGAGAAAAAGATATACAAAAATTCACTGAAGAAAAGAACTCCTTAGAAAGTAGAATTGGCCAAAGAGAAAAGCAGGTACAAAAAGCTCACTAAAGAAAATAATTCCTTTGTATATGTATAGTCTATATCAGATTGTACACTGTCTTGGGGAGGGAGGCGGGGAGGGAGGGGGAGAAAAGTTTTAAACTCAAAAGTTTATGGAAGTGATTGTTGATAATTCAAAATAAATTAATTTTAAAAAAGAAAATAATTCCTTAAAAATTAGAATTGAGCAAGTGGAAGCTAATGACTTTATTGAGACATCAGGAAACAATAAAACAAAACCAAAAGAATGAAAAAATAGAAGACAATGTGAAATATCTCTTTAGAAAAACTACTGACCTGGAAAATAGATCCAGGAAATATATTTTTTAAATTATTGGACTGCCTGAAAGCCATGATCATAAAAGAGAATAGACATCATCTTTCAAGAAATTATCAAGGAAAACTGTCCTGATATTCTAGAATCAGAGGTTAAAATGGACATTGAAAGAATCCACTGATCATCTCCTGAAAGAGATCCCAAAATGAAAACTCCCAGGAACATTATACTCAAATTCCAAAGCTTCCAGGTCAGGGAGAAAATATTGCAAGTAGCTAGAAAGAAATAATTCAAATATCATGGAACCACAGACAGGATAACACAAGATTTACCAGCTTCTACCTTAAAGAATTAGAGGACTTGGAATTTATTATTCCACAGGGCAAAGGGGCTAGGATTACAACCAAGAATCACCTACCTAATAAGACCGAGTGTAATCCTTCAGGAGAAAACATGAACATTCAATGAAATGGAGGACTTTTAAGAATTCATGATGGAAAGACCAGAGTTGAATAGAAAGTTTTACTTTCAAATACAAGACTCAAAAGAATTATAAAAAGGTAAACAAGAAAGGGAAATCATAGGGGACTTAATAAGGTTAAACTGTTTACATTCTTACATGAGAAGATGATACTTGCAACTCATAAGAACTTTCTCATTATTAGAGCTGTTAGAAGTAGACAAAGGACACAGGTGTGAGTTGAATATGATGGGATGACATAAAAAAATAAAATTAAAGGGTGAGAAAAAGAAATGCACTGAGAGAGAAAGAAAGAGGTAGAATTGGGTAAATTATTTCACATAAAAAAAGGCAACAAAAAGCTTTTACAATGGGGGAGAGAATTCAGGAGGTGGCAGGAAACATTTTAACCTTAATCTTATTGGAACTGACTCAAAGAGGGAATAACATACACACTCAATTAGGTATAGAAATTTATCTTACCTTACAAGAAAGTAGAAGGGAAAGGGTGTAAGAGAATGGGGGGGGGTGGTGATAGAAGGTAGGGTGGATTGGGAGAGGCAGTAGTCATAAGCATAACACTTGTGAGGACAAACAGAGTGAAAGCAGAGAGAATAGAATACGTGAGAGGAATAGGATAGAGGGAAGTACAGTTAACAATCATAACTGTGAAAAAAATTGAAGCAAGTTTCTCTAATAAAGGCCTCATTTCTCAAATATATAGAGAACTGAGACAAATTTATAAAAATAAGAGCCATTCCCCAATTGATAAATGATCAAAAGATATGAACAGTTTTCAGATGAAGTAATCAAAGCTATCTATAGCCATATTAAAAAATGTTTTAAGTCATTATTGATTAGAGAAATGTAAATTAAAACACTTCTGAGGTACTACCTCATACCTATTAAATTGACTAATAGGACAGAAAAGAAAAATGGCAAGTGTTGGAGGGGATATGGAAAAATAGAGACACTAATGCATGGTTGGTGGAGATGTGAACTGATTCGACCATTCTGTGGAGCAATTTGGAACTATGCCCAAAGGGCTATAAAACAATGCATACCCTTTGACCCAGCAATACCACTACAAGATTTATATCCCAAAAGAGAAAAAAACAAAAAGGAATAAGGACCTACATATACAAAAACATTTGTAACAGCTCTTTTCTGGTGGCAAAGAATTGGTAATTGAGGGGATGCCCATTAACTGGGGAATAGATGAACAAGTTGTGGCATATGATTGTGATGGAGTCTTATTATGCTATAAGAAATGATGATAATGGGGCAGCTAGGTGGCACAGTGGATAGAGCTCTGGCCTTGGAGTCAGGAGGACCTGAGTTCAAATCCGACCTCAGACTCTTGACACTTACTAGCTGTGTGACCTTTGGCAAGTCACTTAACCCTGGTTGCCTCACCAAAAAGCAAAAAAAAAAAAAAATGATGATAAGGATTCTGTCAGAAAAATCTGGAAAGACCTATAAGAACTGATACAAATTGAAGGGAGTAGAATCAGGATAACATTATACACAGTAACAACAATATTGTAAGATGATCAGCTGTGAATGACTTAGCTATTCTCAGCAATACAGTGATCCATGACAATTCTGAAGAACATACACAAAAACTGACCAGGTTATTAGGGCATAAAAACTTCACAACCAAATATAGAAAAGCATAAATATGAAATGCATCCTTTTCAGACCATAATGTAATAAAAATTGCATTCAATAAAAACAGTAGAAAGATTAAAAATTAATTGGAAACTAAGTAATCTATTCCTAAAGAATGACAGAGTCAAAGAACAAATTATAGAAAGAATCAATAATTTCATTAAAGAGAATCACAACAGTGAGACAACTTATTAAAACTTATGGGATGCAGCCAAAACAGTACTATGAGGGAAATTTACAGATCTCAATGCTTATATCATTAAAATAGAGAAAGACCAGGACAATGCATTTGGCTTACAGTTTTAAAAAAAAGAACAAATTAAAAAACTCCAATTAAACATCAAATTGGAAATCCTGAAAATCAAAGGAAAGATTAATAAAATTGAAAGTAAGAAAACCATTGAACTACTGAATAAAACTAGAAGCTGATTTCATGAAAAAAATCAATGAACTAGATACATAATTGGTTAATTTAATTTTAAAAGGGAAAAAAGATATCCAAATTACCAGTATCAAGAACAAAAGGGGTGAATTCACCACCAATGAAAAAGAAATTAAAACAACTATTGGGAGCTATTTTATCCAATTATATGCCAATAAATCTGACAATGTAAATGAAATGCATGAATATTTGCAAAAACATGAATTGCCCATATTAGAAGAAAAAGAAATAGAATACTTAAATAACACAATCTTAGAAAAAGAAATTGAAAAAGCCATCAATGAACTCCCAAAGAAGCAATCCCCAGGACCAGATAGATTCACAAGTGAACTATTGGGAAAAATAGGTGAAGAAAGAGTCCTAACAAATTCTTTTTATGACACAGATAGGATGCTGACACCTAAAACAGACAGAGCAAAAATAAAAATAGAAAATTGTAGACCAATTTCCCTAATGGATATTGATGGAAAATTTTTAAATAAATACTAGCAAGGAGCTTATAGCAATAGATTACAAATATCACACACTACGACCAGGTGGGATTTATACTAGGAATGCAGGGCTGTTTTTATTATTGGGAAAAGTATTAGCATAATTGAATATATCAATAACACAACCATCAATAATCATATGATTAT